GTAGTATTTTGGATGCGCTGCGAGCGAGAATGTCGCTACTTGCGTTTCGAGGGGACCCTCGCGGGCAGCTTGGATGTTCACCAGTCGGAACTGACTGGCGCCTAGTGCTGAGGGATAGGTAAATGACTCCGAAGTAGCCATTGGGTTCATTAAAGTGATGCGACTGGTACTCGATCGGGCGGTGTGAGAGGAGAGATGGGAGAAAAGACCTTGAAGTACGGCGGTGCATGAGCTGAAAGTGTCCTGTCTGCCTGGTATCATGCAGGCTGTGCAGCTTGAGGGTGGACAACCTTTGCTTGGCTATATCCATAACCAGTTAGCTCAGGTCAATCAAAACATGCGCATGCCTGTCTTGACAGTTGATGGCCATCACTGAATCTGAATTGCTTCGTTGAAGTTGACTGACCATGCGAGCCGCTCAGACCGTTCAACTATCTTGGTAAATACGACACCCTTCTCAACGGCTTCCTGCTGTTCTACCATCCGCTTGGTGGCTGATCTATGCCAAGTCCCTGATGCCCCTGAAGACGAGCAAGAGAAAACCTTGGACCTAGGCGATGGCGAGCATGATATCAAGCCAGATCCATACCAACAGAAGCTTTCACTAATGAATAAAGTGAGTGCGCGTATCGGCCTGGGAGTTGACTCCCATTGCACGACTAACTTCCTTGTAGTCCTTACCACTCTCACCGTCATCGTTTCCGCCCTCATCTTTAGTCTCGTCCACTTTCACCATCGTCGTCCTTCGCATGCATTGTTTATTCCCCTCGTAGTCGTCCCCCATCCCTGTCCTCTCTCGCCGTCGTCGTCGTTGTGTCTTACTACATCGTTTCTCATGTATATCGGATTTCACTAGTGTCATCTCTTACTGTCATCGTCTCTTATCATTATCATTTTCACTATCATTGTCTTTCACTTTCACCGACTCTCGCCCTTGTTTCACCGGCCGTGATCATCCATTGCCCCCCCCCCCCCCCCCCCCCCCCCCCCCCCCCCCCCCCCCCCCCCCCCCCCCCCCCCCCCCCCCCCCCCCCCCCCCCCCCCCCCCCCCCCCCCCCCCCCCCCCCCCCCCCCCCCCCCCCCCCCCCCCCCCCCCCCCCCCCCCCCCCCCCCCCCCCCCCCCCCCCCCCCCCCCCCCCCCCCCCCCCCCCCCCCCCCCCCCCCCCCCCCCCCCCCCCCCCCCCCCCCCCCCCCCCCCCCCCCCCCCCCCCCCCCCCCCCCCCCCCCCCCCCCCCCCCCCCCCCCCCCCCCCCCCCCCCCCCCCCCCCCCCCCCCCCCCCCCCCCCCCCCCCCCCCCCCCCCCCCCCCCCCCCCCCCCCCCCCCCCCCCCCCCCCCCCCCCCCCCCCCCCCCCCCCCCCCCCCCCCCCCCCCCCCCCCCCCCCCCCCCCCCCCCCCCCCCCCCCCCCCCCCCCCCCCCCCCCCCCCCCCCCCCCCCCCCCCCCCCCCCCCCCCCCCCCCCCCCCCCCCCCCCCCCCCCCCCCCCCCCCCCCCCCCCCCCCCCCCCCCCCCCCCCCGGCGAGGGGCCATCGTCCGCTGTCGTCGTCCTTTCTCGTCGTCGTCCGCCGTCGTCCTCTCTATTCTTGTCGTCTCTGGTCTTGGGCGTCGTCCTCTAAGAAGTGTGGACGTCCGCCTTAGCGATAGCCTCTGTTACTGACTCGATAGCTGGGTCAGCCTCTGCCTTCTTCTCGCCAGACTCCACAGTTGCGCCGGCAGCTTTGGCCTTTTCGGCCTCCTTCTTGGCCTTCTTACGGGCCTTGTCGGCCTCCTTGGCGGCCTTCTTAGCGGCCGCCTTCGCCGCAGCCTCCTCCTTTTGCTTGCGGACTTCCTCGCCGCCGAAAGCGTCCTTCCACTCCTCGATCTTGGTGGCAGGAATGAGAGAAAACAGGTGTTTAGGCTCGCCGAGCTTGTGGCCGGGCTTGATCGCGTCGACAACCCAGCTATCAGGAATAGTCGGCTTACTGTCGACACCGAGCTGCTCAAAGATCGCCTTGGATGTGTTGGGCAGGAAGGGGCTGACTAGAGAAGCAATGAGGTTGATCTGGTTCAGCGCGTGACCGACCACGGCAGCGCAACGGTCGGGCTCCTCGGTCAACAGCTTGTTATCAAGCTTATTGTCCTGAAGTAGCTTATTTCCAAGACTGTGTCGACTGTTAGCTGCCGATGCTGAGCGATACCTGATATCAAGGGCACATACGCAGAAATTGACAGGATGCTGTGCAGGGATGCTCTCATCTTGGTGTCCTCCATGTTCTTGATGTATTCGGCAAGGAGGTTGTTGATCTCGGCAACGTGGTTCTTCAAGTAATCATCCGTGTACTTGGTGTAGTCAGGGACGGCTCCGTTGGTCTTGGCCTGGCAGAACTTGTTGACTGCAAAGTATTAGCTATGCTGACGATGGTGCGAAGGGGTTTGCTCACCTCTCTGGCAAAAGTTACCGAGGTTCTTGAGGCTGTAAAGCTGTTAGCTAGGACCGACAGTCGAGCTGCTGAGAGACTTACAGTTCGTTGTTGTTGCCGTCAACCATCTCCTGCCACATGAACTCGGAGTCAGACGTCTCCGGGCGGCGGGCAAGGAGGTAGTATCTCCAGACATCAACGGGAACTTCAGTCTGCTGGACTTGGTTGCCGAAGACACCAACACCTCTCGACTTGCTGAACTTTCCACCCTCGTAGTTGAGATACTCCGTAGTGGAGATCTTGTGCAGCTTAGTCCAGTTCTCTCCTGTGCCGAGCTGAGATCCGGGGAAGATAATGGTGTGGAATTGGACGTTGTCCTTGCCCATGAATTGGTACTGTCAAAGGTCAGCTATGAGTTCTTTGAGTACGTGGATAGTGCGCGCATCACTTACCAGCTTGACATCGTCGGGGTTCTTCCACCACTGCTCCCACTTCTTGCCCTCGAGGTTATCGCCGTCGGTGTAGTTTTTGGTGATGGAAACGTAGCCTAGACGGGTCAGCCGTAGATCTGGAAAGGGAGGTATAGCAGCTACTCACCAATGCAAGCGTCGAACCAGACGTAGAACACCTTCCTTGCGTAGTCCTCGCCAACCTCACCGGTGGGGATGGGCACACCCCACTTCAGATCTCTCGTGATACCACGGGGCTTGAGGCCCTTGTCGATCCAAGCCTGGGTGATCTGCTCGGCGTTGTTGCTCCAGGCGCCCTTCTTGCTGGAAGACTGGAACCACTTGACAAGCTCATCCTTAAGAGCATCAAGCTTCAAGAACAAGTGCTTCGTCTTGCGCTTCTCGGGGGTAGCTCCGTCGAGCTTGCATCTGGGGTTGATCAGCCAGCCAGTGGCCTTGGCGGCGACGTCGTCGTCGGCACCAGCGTTGGGGTCGGTCTCAGGCTCCAAGGGGTCGAGAAGGTTACCGCACTTGTCGCACTGGTCTCCTCTGGCACCGTCGTAATTGCAGACGGAGCAGGTTCCCTCGACGAAACGGTCAGCGAGGAAGGTGTTGTGAGCCTCGACGGGGCAGAAGGGCTGGATAGTCTCGCGCTCCTCAATGTAGCCGTTCTTCCACAGCTTGGTGAAGATGTCCTGGACAATCTCGGTCTGCTGGGGAGTGGGGGTTCGGCCGAAGATATCAAAGGAGATGTCGAAGTAGTCGTAGATGCCCTTGTGGATGGCGTGGTACTTGGCGCAGAGGGTAGCAGGGTCGACACCCTCCTCGAGGGCCTTCGTCTCGGTCGCAGTACCGTACTCGTCGGAGCCGCAAACTGGAGGTAAAATCGTCAGTCGTGGACGGAGATGAAGCAGGTGTGTGGAGGGGTTGCGACGTACTGTAGATGGTGGGGTTACCGCGGGCGCGGGAGTAGCGAGCGAAGACGTCGGCGGACAACACGGAGCCGATAATGTTGCCCAGATGAGGGACGTTGTTGACATAGGGCAGGGCCGAGGTGATGAGGATGTTGTTTTTACCCTTGACGGGCAAGATGGGCTCGGTGGGCGCCATGGCGAGGTATGCGATCGTGGGTGGTGGGGTTTGCGAAAGGTTTGACGAGTTCGGTGGGATATGCCCTCGGGCGGCGTCAATTGATGGCAGAACAGGTAGCTCAAGTATTGCCGGTGTCTTTGTTCGTGTATTCGTGTGTCACTTGCTTCAAACAAGCCGGGAAGCGAGGGAGACGGACGACGGAGACAAAAGACAGTGGCTTCGACTAGCGACAGAAGGGAAAGGAGTCACGCAGAGCAGTGCGCACCTTCCGCACCTCGTCGCTGACTCTGACTCTGATTGACGCAAGAGCCACAACCCCGCACTATCCCCGATCGGGATGAGGGGCAGTTTCCAGCCGGGCCTGCTAAATTTTCAACCGTTACAGGGAGTGCAGGGCGCAAGTCGAGCAGCGGAAAGCGCTGACGCCCTGTATTTGGCACTTCAGGGCCCATGGACTGCCCCGAGTTCACCTACGCTCGGTGTACTTCGGTCTGATCTCGCCATCGCAACCAAAACATTAGATGCGACTTGGCTGTTGGCTGAACAACTGCATTCGGCATCATGTAGTAACTTTGGAGTGTTATATGCAGTCTTTGATCCCACTGCTGATTGCTGGGATGAGGAATTATCCATACCTATCCTTGTAAGTAGGGTGCTGTATCCTCTTGCAACTTCATGAGGACTTTTCGACGCCACTAATCGTGTCTATGTCACCTGCGATGTTCGAACATGCCTTCAACAAGCTGGGGGTGGAGGGCCATTCAGAGGTTCGATGAATTGGATTTCAAGACGCGACTCGATTGAAGAAGTGACTAACACAAGGTTTCTGAATGGTGATAGCCATTCTTGGTGACGACAGATCGAAGGACACCCAAGAAGGGACTTTCTTCGTCCGAACAGGCGGCGCTATTAAACCCAATTGACAAGGCTCGCTCGCGTCGAAAGCTTTGACCGGTCGATTTTCTTGGAGCCATGCCCACAGTCCCAAACCTCAGGTCACAAGTCTTAGATAGTCATCAAATGGTATTTCTTTTGGACATAAGCTACACATTACAAACCCCTCTACTGGCCAAACGCCTCCTCGTAGTTGGTCAGGCAATACCTGTAACGGACACTGGAGTCCTCGATACCGTTCATAGCCTTCCTCAGACCGTCCGCGCTGATGGGAACCTCCTGCACCCACGTCTTGATGCCCTTGTCCGCAGCCAGCTGCAACATCTCCAGCGTCTCGCGTCTGCTGCCCAAGTGCGAGCTACCAATGAAGCAGCCGTTGGGCAGGAAGTCCTGGTTGCGGACGGTGATGCCGCCGCCTCCCGGAAGACCGACGGAAACCCACTTGCCGTGGACGTCGAGAAGGCTGAGGTAGGCAGAGAGGTCGAAGCCCTCAAAGGAGTTGGCCGTGTTGAGGATGAGGTCGAACGTCATCTTGTGAGGCTCGTTCCAGCCCTTCTCGCCGGAGGCGAGGTACCCGTCGGCGCCCATCTTGAGGGAGTCGGCCTCCTTTGAGCGGGAGCGGGAGATGGCCCAGACCTCGGCGCCGAGGGCCTTGGCGAACATGACACCGAAGTGGCCAATGCCACCAATACCCACGATGCCGACCTTCTTGCCCGGACCGCAACCGTTGCGGATGAGAGGGCTGTAGGCGGTCAAACCGGCGCAAAGCATGGGCGCGGCGAGGGTGCTCGGGAGGGCTTCGGGGATGGGGAAGACCCTAGCAGATATCAGTATGGGGTTTATCCCAAGTGGTTTTGAGGGAGCTCACCAGTGCTCGTGGGTGCGGACGTGGGAGGAGTAGCCACCCTGTGAGATGGCGCCGGAGTCAGGGAAGGTAGATCCGTAGGTGTCGAGCTGCTCCTTGCAGTATGTCTCGTTGTCGTTCTTGCATTGGCGGCAGTCGAGGCAGGCGTAGGACTGGGCGCCGACACCGACACGCTCACCGGCCTTGATCTTGGTGACCTTGGGGCCGACTCTCAGAGCCTTGCCGACGATTTCTGGCTATCTTAGTACTCGCGGTCTGAGATGCAATTGGAGTAGACTCACCGTGGCCGACGGCCAGAGGGTAGGGCTGAGCACCCCAGTCACCCTTGACGGTATGAACATCACTGGCGCAGACACCGCAGCACTCAATCTTGATATCGACGTCGTAGTCTCCGAAGGGCTTAGGGTCGAACTGCTGCTTCTTGAAGTCTTGCCAGGTCTCGGCGCTGTTGACCTGGAAGCCGGTGAACTTCTCGGGGATGTTGGCCATCGTGAATTTGATGACTGTGAAGTTGAAGTGTGTATAGAAAGTCAATCAACTCGTTCGGCAGCGGGATCCTTGTGAGCTGCGTGAAGAAGCAGGTTGTCAAGGCAGGAAGGAAGGGGAAGAGAAGAGGCAGAAACAGCTCAAGGGCAGACCAGAGGGACGGCGGCGGATGAAATACCTATGGCCATCGTATAGCTACCCCCAAGCAACACCCCCACCTTCCAACCTCAGTCGCGGCGCGTGGAGCAAAGTCCAGTGATCCCTGGTGAGGGGCACCACCAACTGCGACGAACAAGGAGGGGCTAACGTCGCGCCGCAATGTCATCCCATGCGAGATGGATGGATGGAAGAGGAGGACTGGGGCGGGACCCTGGCCTAGGCAAGGCTAGGCGCCTGATGGGGGAGGAACTCGGGTGAATTTCCCCTCGAGAAAAATCCCCATTGCTTATATGCGTCCCTCGTCCGACTTTCACGATGCCGAGCCAATGGCTTCATCCGCAAGTCCGTGGATATGTTGCCGAATGAAGGCTAAATGGACGTGCCTGGCTGGAGTTATCGACGAACAATGCTGGTGAAGCATGTTCCCATGATCGTGGAATCGGTCTGCTGAATTTTGTTTCTGGCTTCGCTTGTCCTCTTTCTGATTGTCCCTCCATGCCATCCATCGTGCCGTGCCCCGCGATGAAACCCCACCATTGCCCGCCAATTGCACCGCACAATCCACCCGACCCAATGTGTCTCCCCCCGCGGCTTGGGGAAGGGAAATTGTCCGGGGGATTTTCCGAGACCGTTTGCCGAATTTCCCACCAACTAGAACTCGCCGTCTCTGTTCCGATCTTCGACAAGGTCGACTGGAAAACTGCAGTCACAGATAACATCGGGCTTGGCTATACCAAAGAGCCATGGTCGGAGGGTCAACCTCGCTGCTCTGGGGCCGCTTTCGCTGTATCTCGGTACACGTCTCCGAGCCTCAATGTGTCATGCAAATGACTCCAACCAACCACCTGAGCTGTGCTGTAAGTATTCCTGATTGAAGCGAACTGGACGGCCGTTCGGGAGGGCGCTATGCCGGTCGAACGGGGTTCCGGATACCAGCATGTCGGTATTTGCTCGGGTTTGTACCTGCCTGCATCCCTCACCAACTCTTGCATCGACTCGGGACATCGTCTGCATGCAGGCCATCTTCAAAACTTTATCCCCGATGAGTTTTCGATGTTTTCGTCCTCGGCAGCGGCGTTGTGCTGACCGAATGTCGGCGGGCTCGGGCTCGGTGCAATGTTCAGGCGGTCCTCCGCCCAGCAATAATGCCACCCCTGTCGACCGTCGGCTTATTCATCTGGACAGCTCTACCAACGAGCTCCTTATTGCTGTCTGTTGGCCACAACGCGTCGACCGCTAAGCCCAACATTGGCCAGAAACGCGGTGCGCATGGAGGCACCGAGGTAGACAAAAGGCACGTTGCCCCAGTCGATGGCGTTCCACTTGGTGAAGTTGTAGTAGACCTCGGGGCCTAGACTTCGGACGGTGTACAGGTGCCCAAGGTCCGCGACCAGAAGGACGAATAGGACAGTCTTCCAGACCCGGATGTCATTCGTGGAGCGGAGGACGAGGGCTTCGTTGAGGGCAAAGAGGAGGTAGAGGTTCGCGAGCTGGGAGAGCACGATCGTGGTACCCTGAGGAATGACGTCGGGCTTCGATATGGCGTGGGTGAGTGTGAGGTATTCGTCCTGCCGGAAATGGGCGAAGAAGGCGCCGACGAGAGCAGAGATGGGCTCGATGGCGAGGAAGAAGACTCTGTAAAAGAGAGGGACCTGTCGGCCGGCCGTGGTGTACTGTACTGCTGATTTGGGAAGCATCGTCGCGGCATCCAACTGTAGCGTTCCAGGATTGACGAGTCTCTGCGTCAGGCTGTGATTCGACCTAGAGAAGAGTAAAAGGGCAGGAAGAGTGCAATTGAGGGGGAGGGAGCTGGTGGTTTCGTCTCATCATGGGGATTTCTCGCGTGACGGGAACCCTGATGGACTGGACATTTCGTCATGGGGAGGATATGGAAAAACCGAAGCTCCGGCTTCCCCGGCCCCGCGGGTTCCTGCTTGCCGGAGCCGACGGCAGTTGGCCCCTGCTTTATCGAATCAGGGAACTGCACCAACGCGTTCTCTGTGACCTTGAGAGATCGAGGCTAAAATACTAATATAGAAGCTCAGGTGCGAAGAAGAGTTTCTTTTGAAAAACTTGGTAGGAAGTAGAATAGGAAGTAGAATGAAAAAAAAAAAAATGAAAAAAATAAAAAAATAAAAAGAGCGCAACCACAACTTTAAGCATCCTTGTCTGCGCCAAGAGGTTCAGGCTACCCCTAAGTCAGCCCACCCTATAACCGAACACCCCCTATAACTGAACGCCTCAGCCGAAGAGGTACTAGCAACGCAGTTTCAGCAAAACATAGTTTTATTACTATCTAACTAGTAAAAAAGTATATTAAAATGATTTAAATTCGATCTCTTATGCTCTTACTATCTTTACGCCTTTGAAAGTTAATATTAACTCTATAACTTAGGTATTTTTAATAGCTTAGATATTAGTAAACTACTTATTAAGATTAAGCTTAACTAGCTTCTATTTATATAGTATATAGGCTTTTAATTTAGCTTAAAGTTTAGCTATTTTATATTCCTTTATAGTAATAATATTATATTAAAGATCTAAGCCCTTCCCTATAATAAAAAGTAATTATTAGCTATACTATTAGAAAGATTAAGGAGTAGTATAAGGTATTAACTATATTAACTTAATATTATATAAATCTCTTAACTTTATAAGTATATATAACCTATTTTTAAGAGTCCTCTTTTTAGTAAGTAGGTTTTTAGTAATCTCTTTTACTATATTTAAGAGTAATTACTAATTAAGTAGGACTTTTATATAGCTAAGAGGGTAGAGGCTAGTAGCGCGCTAGCTAGCCTAAATATTAATATTAAATAACCTATTAACTTAGGTAAAAGTATAATAGATAAGGAAGTTATATTTTCTTAGAGGTATAATATCTATAAGGGTTATAAAGTTATTAACTCTTTATTAATAGGCTAACTTAAGGGGGCTAAATATAGATAAATTAAAGGGTTAAATAATATAGCTAGAGTAAGTAAGTAGAAAAACTAAGTAAATTAACTAGCTATAGTATTCCTATATAAAGTTAACTATAGTATAGCTTTTATACTTATTTAGGACTAGAAGATACTATAATCCCTTATCTCTACTTATAGGCTTTATCTAGAGATTAAATACCTCTTTAACCTAGTTAATAGCTACTTTATTAATTATCTACTTATTATTAGTTATAGTAAAATACTAGTAATTATAGTTCTTAAGTTCTATAGGGAACTAGCCTTATTAGATACTCTTATTATTAAATATAACTAGTAAATAAAGTTATTTATTAAGGGCTAAGATATATTTTAGTATAGTAATCTATATATATAAATCTGTTAATATATAACATTCTTTTATAATAATAATAATAATATAAGAATAATAATAACGCTTAACTTACTTTAATATTCTATATAAAATAAACGAATAAGGTTTAAGGTATTAAACCTTATATAAAAATACTCTATTTATTATAACCTATAACTATAATATTAATTATATAATACGTATAGTTATATAAGTACCTTATATAATTAGTAGTTTAGTAGGTTACATTTTAGATTATTTTTCCCCTCACCTTTCCCTACTAGAAGAGGAAACCTACTAACTATATAAGTAATAATAACTAGAGTTATTATAATATATTAATTCCCTTATTATTATCTATACGATTAAATACCTATAAATACTTAGGATTATTATTTTTTATTATAATATAAGCCTATCTATAACCTTATACTATATAGGTGTATATATTATACCTCTAAATATACTTATACTTATACTAATAAGTTATAAGCTTAGTTTAGAGATAACCTCTATTCCTTCTACTTCTTTATTTCTCCCCTACCTACCTATAAAACCCTACTTCTACTTAAGAGTTATATATACTAAAAATCAATCTTTTAAATACTTTTCTATCTATACTACCTATATAGAAGTTAATATACTAGTTAGACTAGTAGTTTAGTTTTATAAGATATACCTCTTATAAATCTATATAACTAATCCTATATAAATTAACTATACCTCTATTAATCCTTCTTTAAATAGATAGTCTCTTATTATTACTTTATTTAATCTATATCCTTTAGATTATCTCTTTAAACTATCCTTTAATCTACTCTTAATTTAGTTTAGACTTATACTTATAATATAATAAACTTCTTTTTAACTAATCTATTATATAGGATATATATCTCCTTAGTTTAATAGAAGTCTAGTTAAAGAAGATATTAATTAA